CGCGATCACGACCGGCCGTTCGTATGTCGATGCATAATCGCGTCGTAACGGACGGAACGGGCGAGCGAGCGGGAGCTCGTTGAGGCCCGAGCGACGGGCAGCCATCTTGAGGCCAGACACGGCGACCGCCTCTCGGTTACGTTCCACGGGCACTTTTACGCGTCGTCCAGGCGTTTCCGCGCGAACGACGGCGTCGCCGGGGGACGCGAGTGAACGCAGGCGTGTCCTCGTGCCGCCTCGTGATCGCCGTCCCGTGCACGACTCCGAACACGTCCCGTGAAAAAACGTAATGCCGTCGATGCTACACACCGCATTAAAGAAATCTCTATCTTTTTTCCCCGCCTCCGCATTCCTTTTTCCTCGCTTTCTCGCGCTGCTAGCCGAAGCGGACCGCCGAGACGGCACCGCTCCGACTCCGTATGCGTCGGATGACGACAACGACGTTTCGCGTGGTTTTTCCCGCAGAGGTTTCGCGCAATGCCTAGAGCAAGGCGGGCGGACATTACCTGATTGCGGCAGTCCCATCGATAAAATCCGCAGGACACGACGCGTGGGTACACGGGTTCACTGAGTTTTCGTACAACACCGGGGCACAGTAATCACGATCACCAATTATCTCGCGACAACGGCGTCACATTTCACACACAAATCAACAAAGGTTACCTACTTCACAAAGATGGCGGTCGCGCGTTACACACTACGTGCACGCGGAGGGGAGCGCACTGCGCACACCGCGCGCTCTCCGGTCTACAACGGCGGAAGCATGAAGCACGAAGCGCCGTAAGAGTGGCATGCGTTCCCGTCGACCAATCGTGTCCGCGGCGTCTCCACGCACACCGACGCGTTCGCGCACACCGAGACGTTTTCCTGACCGATCATATGCCAGCCGTACCAGAATCGTTGGGCTCGCATACGTGAAACGACGGAACTCACTCGCTCGTATGTGCATTCTACGCGCTCAATTAGTATGTGTGTAAATTAATGCGTGTATATGTATCGCGCGCGCAATGTGTTTCGTACAACCGAGTGCATTAATCGTCCGCGTTCCTGCATTAATAAAGATATATCAGGAATCGTATGATTGATTAATTGCATTAATTCTATTATGCGAATGAAAGTGTGTTTCTTAAATATTGCAGCCGAGTCTCTGTAACTTTATTTATTCAGAACCGAGTTATTTGTATACTCCTAACGTCTCTTTAAACTTTCCTTCATTTTTAAATGGACAGTCACATTTGACTAGCAAAGTCGAAAATAGTAAGGAGAGTATAAAAAGGCAAGTCAATAATTTGAATACCAAGAAAAAAGCACAAAGATTCAAGGGTACAAATAAGTTTAACAAATGCAGGACACGCAGGACTATTAATGCACTCGACCGTACATGTGATGCATCGTTTCTTACAGGTGTTATATAGATATAGTGCGCCCGAGACGGGAATTCGCGCGAGATACAAATTTATAAAAGTGTGCGCGAACTCACGTATAAACTGCAAATACAGCATGCCGTATTATGGTGGCTAATGATGAAAAGCGAGGAATTGAGGCCGATTGTACTGTGGCAGCAACGGTCGAACACGCTACTATGACCGTTCGGTTTAACTGCCGCTTCTCCCAATTGGGTTGTCGAGGCGACGGCAGGCGTGCACAATGCCACTCAATGCAGGTTTCCGAACGAGACCCGACAGGGCAATATCCTGTCGTTGGAGTAAGTCGCTACTCAGCATTTTTTTCTCATGGACACGCACTTGTTTTTACCATACTTTAAATGTGTAAAGTGTAAAAACAAAACGACTAAAAAAATGAGTTATAAAAATTTATAGAACGTCATGGAATAAATGAGTTTGATACGGAATGATATGCATTGTATTATTTTGCTGCTTATACTTCTATATATAATATTTCTATATTTATAAAAAGGCAAAGAAGAGAGAGAGTATAGTCACCTTGTGAGCAAACCGGCACCTGTCGTGCAAACGAGCAATTACTTGGACTTTAATAGAAAAAATGCATTTGCAATATTTACGCTATATAGTGGAACGTCGTTCGGCACCGCGGTACGGCACGTGTTCTATCGTTTGTATGCAAACCCTGCCAAGTCCTATGCAATTTCGTAATGAGATTATTGATTTTTTTTAAGGGTCGCTGTCTCTGTTTTGTCCATCCATCTGTCTTTCTTTGTTTCTCTCTTCATCCGTTTCAACCGCTCAATATATCGCTATCCTGTACTAAACTCCGCAGTTGACCGCATACATATCGCGTACGACGCACGCGTGCAACGTCTCGCATAATTGAATATGCTGCCCCGGACGACATCGTCCGACCGACAGTCGCATGTGCGAAACTAACCAGCAAATTCTCCGCAATATCTACATACCCGGTGATTGTATTGATTTTCCCGACAGTATGTAAATTAGCGTGCTACGATGTAAGTACGCGTGAGCGGAAAATCCTGCGCAGTTTACACGCTTTTGATATCTGTAAATTACAACTTTAGCCTACAATCCATTTTCTCATTAAATGTAATATACGCAACATAATATTAGTCTTTTTAGTAAATCAATATCATAAAACACGTGTTGTGCGAGAACGTAATTTTATAGGCAAGATATAAAAGAAATATGTATCAGTTTTAAATTGAAAAAAAATAATATAGAAATATACTCACATATATATTCCTATAGTTACAATACAATTATAATTGCACTTGTAATATAAGTACGATATGAAGAAAAGATGAAGGTAAAAAAAACATTAAGATGTTTATTAAGTACACAATTTACAACTGCTATCAAGTTAGCGCCAATCAAGACTGGAAATTCGGCTTTCCCTCGTAAGTACATCCAGATCGTTGTACGATCTGCGTCGCGGCCCAAATACCGCATTTTATGCATGTATCTATACTTTTACCTTGTATAAGTTGCGCGAGAAAACCTGAAACAATTTTTCCTGTTAGCCTCTGTTCGTCAATCGCGATTCAAACAATGAAATTATTTGTACTTACCTCCAACGAAAGCATCTCCAGCACCATTGGTATCTACAACTTTCTCCCCTGGCAGTTTTACAACAGGATATTCCGTCACTGTTCCATCTTTCGCTAGAAGCACCGCTTCAGCGCCTTGCGTTATAACAACAATCCTTTTCCTCTTCTTATTAATTTTGTTCATCTCCGAGATCTTTAGTGCGATCTGCTTCCTGTCTGTTATGTTGAAACCGTTGACGTTTGCAAATGTATCCGCTTCCGTCTCGTTTCCAAATAAAATATCCACATAGGGAAGTGCGGCTAACATCGGCTTTCGGAAAATCTCGCAAAGAAAAGGAGCACTGAGATTCATCATAAATATTTTGTCGTCCTCGTAAGCACATTTGGCTACCGTTAGTATGGATTCCGGGCTGACTGTCAAGAAAAATCCCTGTAACACAGAATATTCAACTTTATGTAACATGTTGTTTTACAGCTGCATCTGTGACTAGCGTGATTATTAAAAAACTTTTACCGATATATAAATATATCTCGCGATATCGATCAGCTGTTTGTTTTCTGGTTTTTCAATATGCGACAATGAAAAGCAATTTGCTGCTGCTAAATTAGCGCACAAAGAACGTTCCTTCCCCGTAATAAGCACTGCGCAAGTTCCAGTCGGTTCTTGATTGGTGTATTGATATTGAACATTCAAACCATCTGTAGTTGCTTTATCCTCTAGAATCTTGGAATACTTGTCTCTGCCAACACAGCCCATATAAGTAGCAACTTTTGGTTTCTGCAGAAACCACTGCAAAATATGAATACTGATAATTTATTGCTGTGCAATTTTGTTTCCATTGCCAAAATAAATTTGTTAAAATTTAAATAACATTTACAAATACTACTTACTTGGGCCACTCTCATAGTGTTCTGCACAGATCCACCCGCGATAAAATCAGCTTTGTACAAGTCAATTAACTCCTCGTATAAAGGTTTGTGTTTCTCCTCAGCAAGGATGGCATTGTTAGACTTAAGGTCATATTTCTTTAAAAATTCATTATCTACTGTTGCTGAAATATCAAGCAGAGGATTTCCCATGCCAAGTAATAGTCCTTCCCTGAAATAATTATTAAATATCGTTAGTAGATATTCTCTAATAAATTCTGTAAAATTTTATTATGTTTTTTAAACTTGCAATAAAAGCAACGTTGTATGATGTCATTATTTTTAATGTGCTTGATAAAAATGACCATAATATTAATAAAAGTAATGTACACGTGCTCTTCGAAACGTCGTTTTAAAATAGTCATATTGAACTTGGTGATAGAGTCAAGTCGATGAAGATCGACCTTGATGGTTATGTAACCTGTATCTTTCCTTCCACGACGCGATTAAATTGTGTCATAAACAACGTCATTAATTACGTGCATAATTATTAATTGCAAGACACAGCCTGCCTGCTTTATAAATAATCATTTAGTATTGTCCAAAAAAAAGGCAGTTTACATCGTCAGCTTCATCGATCATCCGGAGCACATGTGAGATGCATATAACCTCAATATCATGATAACCTCTTAGAACCTATGAAAGAACGATTTGCTCTCAGACCGCACGATAGATGACAAATTCCGAAAGTGTGGAAAAATGGAAAATGTGGAATCGTACGTGACAAAATATTTTACTTACTGTAGATTTTCAGCCATTTGTGCGCAATTTCTCCTCGCGATCACGAGGAAATGTGTGCCGGGAAGTCTACTGCAATAACAACGCTGTTGCTACGATGCGCCACAGACGTTTTCTGAACTTCTTATACGTTGAAATGAAAGAGATCAAATGGCACTGATTGCATCACTACAAAAGAAACCCTCTTCTACTTCACCACAGAATGTTATCGCTAGAATGTTATCGCGGTGACTTATTGCGAATGAGAGCTAAAGAAAGAGATAGAGCCAGGGACAAACATATTTACGTAGATCTATCTAAGGAGATTTAATTACCCAAACGATCTAAATGCACACTAATTCTTAATTTGCAACTCCCAACGATACTCCCATCAGGAAGTGTACTTCTTGTCTTCGTAATATGTAATTTGTATTTACTGTATATTTATTAGTTGCACTTTCAGTATTCTTTATAATTTTTCATGCTTAGAACGATGCGTTTGAGAAGGATAGCAAACTTATGTGTCCGAAACGAGACCTCATGACGTAATACAAAATAAGTAAAGCAATGAGATAAATTCTATTTTCTACTTCTTTACACAACTTGGAACTTTTATATTGACTGAAAAGATAAACATAAAATTATAAATCCAGACGTGCAAAATAATTTATCATAAAATATAACAATCTTCTAATAAAATCGTCCTCCTTCGTTATGTTAATTTGATTAACAAATTGCTCAAATAACTTCTAGGAAAAATGTGAGATACAGGAGAAGTTTACATAATCGAGAAGCTTTTATAATTCAATACTATGTAATAAAATGTATATAAAAATGTATACCTCGTATAATGTTATGACAGATTCCGTATAAGTAAAATAGTTAATGAGCTCTCATGGAGTTAAGTATCTTTATTGCTCAATTACATGTTGAATATTTCCATCACTAGGCTTCAGAAGTTTTATACCATTAAACAAAGCAGAGACGTCCTGTAACAAATATTTTACACGAAAACTTACTTATGGTGTTAACTCTTTAATTAATCTTTGCAATTAAATAACGATAGGGAGCTAATTTATTAAATCTCTTACCTGCAAAATTTTACTTACCGTTATGCATTTATATTTAAATAAAATTGTGACGAATACGAAATTACTTATGGAAAAAAATCGCACAAAATATATCAGTGCATAAAGATTCCTTATATCTGACTGCAACTATATTGCATTACGTCAGAAGCGAGAAATATGAATTTTTTCCCTTGCAATATATTGAAGATTCTTAGGGATTTATTTATTAATAGTTTTAAATGTTGATTGTAGTTAAATATAAAATATATATGAATTAGATTGTTTACACTGATTAACAAAAAAAAGTTGTAGCAAAAAAAAATCGTACTTCGAGCAATTACTTGTGCAGGAAAAAAAATCACATCATTTCTTGTTTCTGATGTCATAACTCAATTTGGTTGCAGAGAAACGAAGAATCTTAAAATACCGCGATATGAAAAATGTATCGCCAGAAAAATATAATTCTCGCATGACTACAAAATTATACTAGTTTTCCTGAATGAAAGAACCAAAATGAAAAGATGGTCGGTATTATTGCTACAAATGTATCAATACTCATCGGAGCAATTTTATATACGATTTTCGATATTCTTCAGATCAGAAATGATTACGGACAGCGCGAGGGGGGGAAAGAGGGAGAAAGTATTCGCTCTTACGATACCTTCGTGCTCCCGCCGAGCGGAGACTCGAGAATCCGCTTTATAGAGCGAGATTCGGCATGTAAAGCACGTCGTAGGCACATGACGATCTCGTAGTTTCGTCCGGCATACCCTACAGAAGAAGAGGATTCTCATCGCATCTCGCGGAGATGGGCTTTCCCCTAAGAAGCGCCGCTTCTCCTAAGAAAGAAAACATGGCTCTCAAAGGCGTTCGGATAGAAGAACACGGGATATAATTAATGTGTTTCTTTATTTTTCTTTTATTTTATATCTTTATTCGCTTTCTCTTACGCGGGTCGAAACAATACCGGGAGGCTGGATGGAACTTGCCTTGGATGAGATGTGACCGGGATGTAACGCAGCCCTTTATTCTAGCGGGATCTCTCTCCCTCTGTTTCTCTCTCTTTTGATGTGGTACAGAGTGCTGATGGACAATTACCTCTCGCTAATCACGTCGCTCCTTCGTCAGATCACTATCTCTCACTCGCCGCTTCTACTCAAAGCTCTCGTTCTCTAGAGCTTGGCTGGCTCGTCGGCTCCTTCAAGGCGCATCCGTCGTGGAAACGTTGCCGGTGTAGAAGGCTATCATCGTGTCCTATATTACATATCATATTATAATACAGCGTATTACAAATCTCTGCCGGCGCGTTTCTATCGGTTTTGCGCTTTTATTTTTTTTTTTGATAATGCGACAACCGACGACGACCGACAAATGCGTGCACTCGTTTTCCGTTTTCTATCACGCGAGGTCAAGGAGGTAACAACCCGTGTTCCGACGTGTCCGCTTTTTCTTGCGTCGACCGTGTCTGTCAAAAATCCGTGCACGGATCCGATCGGCGATTCACGTTTCTCCGTCTCTAGTGAGAACTCTGCCGAGGGACTGGGCTACTTTTCGCCTAAGTGCCTGCGAAGGGTCTGTGCCGGCGTATCCGAGATATACCTCAGCGATATACCTACAGACTGGGTTCGGAACTTTCATCTCGTCGAGCTTCTCGAGCAGCCCGAACTGTGTCCCGAACCGTTTGCAACTCGGGGGCTGCGTTACAGACGACGACAGCGGCGGCGGCGGCGGCGGCGACGACGGCGACGGCGACGACGGCGGCGATGCGGCGGCGAGGGCGACGACGAAGGCGAAGACGGCAACGATGACGACGATGACGACGACAACCGCCGGTATCCCGCACGTCCACAGCCGATACATCGCGTATCGAATATATCCGACGGCGAAGGTCTCCGGTGTGCATGACTCCATTGTTCTCGAGTCTTATTTCCCGCACGACATGTGTGTGTGTGACTCTCGCGCGCGTCTACCATACGCGCGCGACTTCAGTTATCGCACATTTTCCCCGCGTACCCGCATTAACGAGCCTCGAGTCTCGTCAAGTACGCAAAGCCGTATTCGCGGGTAGGGGATTGGTTTAAGCGGTATGCTATGCGAGGTTGTAGAACGTTAAAAAAAATTTTTTTTTAAATTAAAAAAAATTTTTTTAAAGTAAAAGAAA